AACACCAAGCATAGCCCTCTCCATAGCACGCTGTGCAACTTTGAGCTTCTGTATAAGGCCTATAGTGAGAGGCCACGTTTCCGAGCCATTTATGTTTACGAGTTGATTTATGGAGCTCCTATATTCCGCTTCTTCTTGTCGTGTCGACAACAAACCTACACAGCGTCAGCCCAAAACTCCGCCACAAGAATGGCGTTGTCAGTAGCCTACATTAAATCTTCCTGCGTGCATTTGTTTGGGCACGCAGGGCACGACGTTATGTGCTTCGTCGACTGGGGAACAAAACCACACTTGCTCTCCAAGCTTGAGCCATCCAAAAATCCCCACCCCATATTCCGCTGATTACATATTTTATGTAGGGTTCCAAGATATTACTCAGGTGGGAACGAAAGTCCCGTCCCGTGCGACGCCGAGGAGGTCTTATGGTCACAAAACGGTCTCTCTCGACACAGAGTTATGGTTCCGAATTTAGATAACCAAGCTAGGCCTGCACCCAAAAAAAATTGCACTGTAGTCTGGGCCGTTATATCCTACAGGTAATATCACGGAGTCTTTCTTAAGATTACAAAATAGGCTCCGAGTTCGGAATTGCGAGGGAATTGACAACGGCCAACCGTCTAATCTGAGACATCATCTACTATATAAAAATAAGTCAGGTTTTCCTTCCTGACGCTATAACTCCAGAACGTACGAACCGATTTCCACGGTTTTGCATTCGTTAGAAAGGTCTCGGGCTCCGTGAGGTTTATAGCAAAAGATCTAATAGATGAAGGGGGTAAAACGGGATCCACGCGTACGAAGTCCCGGGCGGCCGCTAGTTTCGTATAAAAATGAATCGCAAAATGTGTTGGTAAGCGCGTAACTCAACAACCAATTGGACCACTTTTTTCACGCGGGTGAAGCCGCGGACGGAAAGCTAGTGAGAAATAAAAATAAATGTTCTTTTTACACTCCAGAACGTGCGGCTAGAGCGGCCGATAGCCGAGATCCCGGTGGGGTCGGCGGGCTCGGCGCACGCGGCGGCCGCGGGCGCGGTGGCGGCTCGCGGCGCGTGGGAGGGCGCGGCGCGCGGCTGGGCCGCCGGCGCGGTCATGCTGGCTGTACTCGTGCTCATCGTCAGGGCGCTGGAGAAGTGCTTGTACAAGAGGCTGTTTAAAGGTACGTACTTATATCATTTACTATTATTACATACGCGAAAGTTACAGTTACTGCTGAAACGGTTTTGGAATAGAGATAATAGGTTATTAGGTCGTCTTAAAATGAATGTCGAAGCATTGCGTCGAAGTTGGTGAAAGAGCGGATAAAAGTTTATGCCCCATTATTACGATAGTAAATTGTTATGGGTGTTGATGGGCGCTAATGACTTTTAGTGAAAAACCAGAAAACATCCTGAATGGAAAGCATTTTCCAAAAACGCAAGCTGCGACAGTCAGGACTCGAGAACATTTACCTACTTACAAGCCGCTTGCTGTCGGTTGCTTTGTCGAAGAAGCAAGCTTCTGTTTTTAGGATAATACTTGGTTTATTCGTCCAAGGGATAATAATGACGATGATGATTTTACCACTATTACGATTTCACGTCTTTCACGATTTATTCATAGAGTTTAAAATTCGATTTAGGATATACCTACTTTCATTAGCGGAGTTTCCATACCCACATTTTTCCTTATTTACATTAGAAAATCTGAATTAATAGGTAGATTAGTACCTACAAAATTATAGTTTTATCAGACTTCCGAACTTTCCTTATTTGTTTTGGAATTTACGCACAATTTTATTTATGCACTTAGATTATGAGTAGTTCTCGTTATCACAGGGACTATTTTTTGCGTTTCAGGAAGAACATTATCCTGTGATGAGTGGCACACACCAAACGTGTTTGCGACTAGCCGTAAGCATTAATGCTTTATTGGTAGTTAGTTGATAGATTAGATTAACGTCTGCCGCCCTCAATCCTTTTCGATTACCTACCTTCTTTTGAAACATCGTAATAAAAGCTCTCTTTTTTCAGATCGTCACGGGAGCGACATCGGCACAGTTCCACGCCTGGATGACGTGGACTCGCTGCCGTCTGACAGCAGAGAGTCTTCAGGCAACGACCTGCCCCCGCCGTACTCTGAATGTGCCAACAGCGAAGGTGGAAGTGTGGACGCCGACAAGCCCATCGGCACTGAGGAACCTCCACCCCCTTACTCCGCCTGCTACTTCTCAAATCCCAAAGACAGCGCCCCCTCCGTCCACTTCTACCGACGAAGGGGCGCAGAAGCAGGCCAGTCGAGTTCGAATGCTCAAGCACCAAATATATCAAACGCAAGAACTGACGACAGCGACAAAATCTCAGATGTTGGTTGTGAAGTTAATGATAGCATAGAGAGTAATATCAGCAGAGGTGAACATCATTATGTAAATGAACGCTCAAGACCAAATATAGGACGATCCAGACGACGGAGAGAGGAACATTCCAATCATGTAGTTGAGATTCACGGAAATGACTCTCGGGAAAGGATTATAGTTGCATAAAGAAACTTGCGATGTTTGAGTGGTATCAGTGTTTTAACTGCGTCCAAATATAAAAGGACGCTAAGATAAGGATGGAAATGGAAGAAACGATTTTGAATCAAGAACGATTATCGAAATTAGTGAAGTGGAAGAATGGTATCGAGTACCGACCGCTGAATCTCGAGGCGGTTGCAGTAGCAGTAACCGTTAATGGCGTGGAAATTACGAGTATACTTATTTATTTTTTTACAATTTTCTCGTAATTTAACTTTATACTATCTTTAACTGTACCTATAATATCGAACCTTTTAACTCAATATAATGAAACAAATTAGTGATCCATGCAATATACAAGTGTAGATTTATTGCTTATTGCAATCAGATAATAGATTTAGATACACTTTTGTAATTTTGTAGGTAATGCAAAGTTTTCGACACCTAAGTAGTGTTTACCGATAGGACAGCAAAATTAGCCAATAGAGTAACGTGCCACGTGATCTTAATTAAGAAATAAGATGTAAATGAATGTATTCAATAGTTTTACAAGCAGAAAATAGATCTCACAGGGCCTGAAGATAACTAAATCACATTCTATTCGTATTCGTATGTACATATTTTCAATTGTACACAATCAGGATCCAGTAATATTTTGAGTATTAAAAACATTATTAAATTAAATATATTTTTTTTTAACCTGTAGTAATGTACTTAAAGAATATAATTTTCATACATACCTACTTAAACATAATCCCGCTCATTCTTCCATCCTTCAGCCATGTTAAATTAAAACAATAGGGAAAGTAAAAAACTAATAAAACTAAAGTGCTTTATTAAAATCTAGAAGTAACATTAAATAAATATTATTTCACAAAATAACTTTAAATATAACTAAATTACAATTAAATTAAATTATAAATGCACATTGAGCTATAACTGCTGTACAAACGTATATTTTGTACGAAAGTAAAAAGAAGAAAAGCTGGCGATGGTACTATTAAAGTCACAAGCTAAATTATAACCATAACTAATAAACTCACAAGTTCTTAAGAGATCTCATCGCCCCTACCCTTTAAATATAACATTTTGGTTTAAACACCTACTTACTTAATAAAAGTAATACCTACCTACAGTCTTAAAATTCACAACGTTGGAAATTAGCACCAATTTGCATGTTTATTTGCTTACAATTTAATTTAAAGGCTTTATTTTACGCTTGAGTAACTAAAGCTGTTCTGTTGCTCACAAACTAAACAGTTTTATCTAACTCACAAAGTGAATACTATTTCAAGTAGATTTGTGCAATAAAAATGTTTTACATCTAATTATGGTTGTGATTGTGACATGGTCTATTTATTTCACGATATCAACTCGTTTAATTGAATTCAATAAACAATAAAAAATAAAAAAGTTTAGCAAACAAAACCTGAAAATACGTGAAATGCATATATCTTATTTTAAAAGAGCGAATATTCTGCGGTTTTCATTACACATCAATCAACTTAATGTAGCTAAGTAATTAATTAAAATTGAGTTCATCTATCAATCTATAAATTGCTTTAATTTATAAAACTTTGACAGAACTATTGAAAAAAAGCGTCGACTTTCAACCTTGCCGAAGTCATACAGGATGTTAGGGACAGCTTGGCAATCAATTCCACCGATTATTTTAAGTTTTTCCAACCAGTACCTTACATCCTGTATAAGTTTATTAGAAATCTTACGCCCACTGATCGTTAGTTTCTCTGAAATCCACTGGCCAAACCATCTCAGCAGCACAGAGGTACCTACTCGTAGATATCAAGCTTCTAAAGAGAAGATGGTGTTTTCCTCAAAAACATGGGAATTTGTCAATTACTTGGAGGTCTTCCTAGCGATTACGCTGCCGCTCAGTGGACACACGCCCGTATTCACAAACGATGCTTGTTTAAGTGAAGCAGAAAATCGAACGCACAGTGTTGAATAGAGCTATGTGATTGGTTCGTGGGTCACACTGTGCGTCAACGCGCACTGTGAGACCTCATAGAAATGTTTGTGAATACGGGCGACAGTCTTGTACACAGAAAGTAAGGTAATCGTAAATTTTTGACGATAGCGTGCGCATGACGTGCGTTTTCAACCGACTTCAAAAAAGGAGGAGGTTCTCAATTCGACCCGTATGTTTTTTTTTCTATGTTTTTCTATGTTTGTTACGCGATAACTCCGCCAATTATGAACCGATTTGAACAAATCTTTTTTCGGCGTATAGGTAATACCTCAAGGGTGGTCCCATTTAAATTTAATAATAGAAAAAACAACCCCCAAGGGTGGAAAATTGGGAATGAACTTTTTTATACGCAATATCTCCGCCGATTATGAACCAATTTAAACGATTATTTTTTTGTTGAATAGGTATTATCAAAAGGGTGGTTTCATGCGAATTTGAAGAAAATATTTCACCCCCAAGGGTAGAACTTTTTTAAATTTTAGTTCTTTTTTGTGTTCACGCATTTTTGAAGTCGGTTTTATTTTTATGTGGACAGTAGGCCTCAGGTTACTGTTTATAATATTTTTAGAATAGCCGGGTACCGTAGGACCCAGAGTGGCCAGTTGGAAAGAGGGCTCGATGGTATGTATTGTAGGTCGGTGGAGCCTACAGCTCGTTGTTGTGGCGACGGCGCACGTACCGCGCGAAGTAGTCCGGGCGCCAGCACTTGCACGAGCCCGGCACCAGGAACCAGTCGTAGTACAGGCGCACCTGCAACCGGCATTCAGTATTAGAGACGTATTTTTTGTATGCTACTTGTGTTATATTATGTATGTTTACCTAATAAAGAAAATATAGGTAATCTAATAGCTGTACCCGCGACTTCGTACGCGTGAAAACCCATTCGCAACATTGTTCATTTTTGCTCTGCACCTATTACTCGTAGCGTGATGGTATATAGCCTACAGCCTTCCTCGATAAATGGGCTATCTAATACTAAAATAATATTTCAAATCGGACCGGTAGTTCCTGAGATTAGCGCGTTCAAGTAAACAAACAAACAAACTCTTCAGCTTTAAGTATATAATATTAGTAGGTATAGATATAAAAATGAATCGCAAAATGTGTTGTTAAACGCATAAGTAACTCAACAACGCCTGGACCAATTTTACCAATTCTTTTTTTTTCATCGATAAAATTGTCCATAGATTACGCCCTTAAAGTTTGATCACTACATGCCCGGACACACTGTATATTACGATAAAAATCTGTATAGCCTACGGGGACTCTCAAACGACACGAGCAAATGTGAACGGCATACGAGCCTGATGGATAAGATTAACTAATTACCTACAACGCCAGTAAAGGCTGAGGATTCTGCACAGAACCAAGCCTACTTCTACTTCTTCTTCTTTTCATGTCGACAACAAACCTACAGTGTCAGCCCTAAACTCCGCCACAAGAGTGGCGTTGTCAGTAGCACTCATCAAATCCTCATGAGTGCAGTAAGTACTTACTTAATGTTAAAAAATGTCTTAAGTGTTGCATCTAGGTATTCAAATTACTTTGCTCAAGATACCTACCCATTGGCTCCGATAACTTCGCTGTTCATTTGCAGTCATAATTTTGCACGAATAAAATGGAAATGATTCAGGCAAATCCGCAAGCAGTTTAACTATAATCGTACCTGATAGCAGCCGAACTTGTCATGTCCATCGCAGTGCGGCGGCTTGTCGGTGCTGGGCTCGCCTTCGGCGGGGCCGGCGCGCTTCTGCAGGTATTGCTGGTACTCCTGCGCAATACATACAAGAGAAACTCATTCTTATGTGAATGTGAATACGACTGCTTTTCCCATCTTAGGATGCAAGAAAGATCACAACCCTCGCACCACATTCGAGAGCTATTATTGTCATGAATGACTAATACAAGCTACTGACTACTGTGACTCGACTTCTTATTCTTCTTCTCTGTCGTTTTGCTTTCTTGGCAGAGCAGTCGTGCTCACGTTGAGGCCTCCACGTCGTTGGTAGACACAAATAGAGGTCTCAGAGTCTAATTTGACGCTAGTTAGCACAGACTTTTACTAATTCTAAGATAGGTACGGGACTTATTCAAACTATTGCAACTCCTGTATAGGCAAGCTACAGATTGGCCTCCAATGAAACCCAACCAGTGAAGATTGGATTAGCCCCGGGGGATAGCTGACTGTCTTGGAAAAGTTGCTTCTGAATTGAATTACTTCTAAGATAGCGTTATAGCAGAGTAAATACTGACAAAATTCAGCGCACCTCACCGCTAATCCACGCTAAATTTTGTCAGTGTGTGCGTGCGCGCCGCATACGTATTGGCGCGCTCACATACAAACCGCTCTCAGGCGTTTCTATGAAGATGACCTACTCATTTGTATTTACTCTGGTTATAGTTAGTAGTGGTTCACTAGTGGTACTGACCTGGAAGTCCTGCACATGCTGCGCGAGCGGGTAGTGCATCTCGGCCACCAGCAGCGACACCCAGCGCGGCGAGCTCAGGCAGCCGCCCTCCAGGTAGTGGCAGCGAGATTGCATGCATCTGGGGAGAGAGGCACCAGGGCCAGGGTTACGTAGGATAGCAAACCCGCCTAGACCGCCACCTATCGGCATGTCTATTAGACTAATTTAATATTCAGATTCAAATTAAGATAGGCTCCTTCAGCCTTTAGATGCCTATTTAAGGACGTGGCCGGTGATCCTCATGTTTTTTTTGGCATTGGTAGGTATTACCTATTCAGTGGCATGAAAACATAGTTTATACCACACTGTGGTTTATACCTAATTCATGACAGTTTTCATTTCGAAATCATTTCATGGAGCAAAGTAATACAAGCAACACCGGTGCGATTTCGCTTTCGTTCGTTTCAGCCAAATGACGTCCACTGCTGGACAAAGGCCTCCCCCAAGGTTTTCCACAATGATTTCGCTTTATCGCATATGTATCACGTACCTACCTAAATATGTAACTTTGTTTATGGAAAGTTAAGTAGTTATCATACAGCAGTATCAATTAATCTCTCAGAACTGCAAAGGAGGACGTAGACTCTACTGCCCGTAGCTCGTTTCTCTCTGACCTCTTTACTCCACATGGTGGTGGGTGCTTACCTGGTGACCTCGACGGTTTGGGTGAAGTAGCCCTCGTATGGGATCTGCACGACGTAGCGCCACACGCCCTGATAGTTGCGCGCGAACACCGGTGTGGCGTACTCCACGCGAGCCGGGCACGGGGTCGGTGGGCCCTGAAAAAAGTAAATAATTAAGAACCAACCAAGCGATTATAGCCGATACTGATGAGATTGACTGGAAGATAATTCCAAATGGCATTAAGTTTATAAAAAAAGTAAAAAAAGTAAAAGTAAAAAAGTATTTATTTCTCAAAGATGTCACATGTACAATTTATTCTGGCGGTCTCTGCACTAAGCTAGAAAGCTTGTATCGCAGCGGCCAATACAAACAATTACCTTTGTATTGACATCGGTCTGATAGGACAGGAAAACCAACCTCATATCGATGGTGAGGAGCAGGGGCTCCTCTGTGCGGTGTGCCGGGGTCTTCGCGGCGTTCGAGCGGGGCACTCGACTCGCTATCACCGTTGATCGCTCGGTAGAGCATGCAGAATCTGATAAAAACAGAAATAAAAATTACCATCAAGGCAGGTTTACTACGATGTAGTAACAAAACGCAACCAACATGACAACCACAGATATCTGTGATGACAACTGACTGACATTGACAACTTTGACAAGGCGCAATTTCCATCTGTGCGTGACATTTCGCCTGATACCAGTGTTGCCAGAAGGTTACTTTTGTAACCTTTTAGGTTACTTTTGAACTGCAGTGGTTACTTTTAGGTCACACTAATGAAAAGGTTACTTTTAGGTGATTTTTCAGAAATTGTAGAATTAACTTTTACAGGTTATTAGTAAAAAATATTAATGGTGACAATTTAAAAATTATGTCATAAAGTGCATTTAAACTTGAATTTGATTTATTATTCGTTAAAAAAAATGAGTTTTAGCGAATGTTTTTCGATAATAAAAGGCAAATCCATGAAACGTTTTTATACGACTGGTCACTTTTCGAATTTAGATTCAATTGTATTCATTTTCCATCCATGAACAACCTTACACAATCATCGCTCCGCACCCCCCNCCCTATGAAGGTTACTTTGTATTCAAAAAGGTTACTTTTTTTATATTTCTGGTAATTTCTGACTAGACCCGACTGGCAACACTGCCTGATACTTCAATTTTAGGTTATTTTTCGTCTTTGCGCAAATTAAATAAATGTTTCGAGATAGTTTCATTAAAAAATGTCATCAGCTTTAGTCCGCCAAGCTTTGGAACTCGTCGACCCAGAAGGTATTGGCTTGTTTCTATTTAGATAATGTTATTGTGATGTTAGTTTCTTGGAATGGCATTTTCGTTTATGACCGTGTTGTTATTACAGAGAGTGTCGGTAAACGAAGCAAGCGTCGCTCGGGGCAGTCGCGCCGCGCCGGGGCACCGGGTCAAGGTGCGTTCTTATGTCATTTTAGTGATCTATATCACCACCGACTGCGGTATTTGAGGAGAGTCGTTTGAGGTTAGATTCAATCAAATACTTGCCTTTGGAGTAGTTTAGTAGGTATGAACCTCATTGTTTAACAATGCCCTGTGATAATATTGATCTAACTAATATGCCAATAAAATAGCACCGTAGACAAAACTTATTGTTGTTTCATAATCCGTTGAAAAAGAACACCCGTAATACTTTATAGTGTGTTTGTTTGCGGGAGGTTTTAATAGTGACTAGGTTATTTATTAACCATACTAATTGTATTATTTTGACTCAACCAGCTTAGTTTGACACATTTTTTATATCAATTTATTGTAATTGAGGGTATTTTTTAAACATAAATTTACATTTTGTGATTGTTTTAGTTGCAGATCGTCCAAACCCCTACAAGCGTAACAAGAAACCACAACCAAAAGACACCAAACCTAGTACCGATAAAGCCGAGGAGAACATCAAGAAACTGCTGGCCTTATCTACTCCAGCCGTTGACAGTAAAACTGCTAAAAAGGTATGTAATTCAGCTTCAAATGAGTATTGAAATTCTTATCGTTTTCAGTTTATGGTGCCTCATACTGCCGTAAAATAAACTATAAAAATTTTGATAAGATGAAATTACAATAATAATATGCTCCAAGTATACATAGGGTACATTTGTTTTTGAGATTACAAAATATCTTGAGGTGAATCTATCTATGAAATAAATCTTTGGAAGTACACATAGTTTATGATCTGATTAGTATTGAATGATGAAATATGTAATTGAAATGGGGACTACATAAAATGCATTTTACTCTGAATCTCATAGGTAAAATTAACTTTGTTTTATTTTCTTTTATTCCTTCAACTGTGTGACACACCTCTATGAACATTACATGCTATATCTATCTGTAGCCAAAGCTCCATGAGAGTTCACCACATGGTCACATTAATAAAACCACAAATATCTTTGACGCCATGTTGATAAAAATATCCCTATTCTTATCAAGAGTCATAATATTGTGTTTGAGAACTGCCATATGATTACAAAGCTAGTGATTATAGGTGTACGTGTACAGTGTACATATACATATACAAACCAGCTCAGAGATGTATAAGATTGTTATTAATTACTTAACTAAAGTGTAACTTTATAAAGAAATCACTTGGTACTTTGGAAGCTTTACATGTCCTATTTTTTTTTTTTTTTACTTGCACTTGTCCCTCTCTCTCTAGGGCATATTTTATTTTGCACACAGGTACTAATGTGTTGAAGTTGTATGTGATTGTTGTAAAACATTAACTGATAACATAAAACATGACTCTGTGGCTGTCCTTGTATTATTTGTATACAGACAGATACAAATGTGTGTTACTGTAACATTGACTTTATAGCACTATGATGATAAATGTGTTTATCATTATTACATTCTTATGTTCAGAATAGATTCTTGACATATTTAAAAACAGTTGTGTAAAAAGTTTAAGAGAGAAATGTTACTCTTTTATTTTGTTTAATTGTACAGGTAGAAACAGTTTGGTTGCCACTACATATTCAGCAGTTTTTTGTTTAAATAGTGACTTAATTTCGGAATATCCATTCATGATTTTTATCTACTATCTGGTTACCATAGTTTCAGCTTAGCCTAGAACTAGATGATAGATTACAAAATGAAATGAATGAATAGTTTATTCAGTACATAGGCCCTTTCCAGGGCACTTACACACGTCCCAAATATAGCTTGCCCTACCACCACTTCGGGACAACATATGGGCTGGTGCTGAGAAGAAGTGGCGGAAGAAACAGTAATTTATAGCTTACATAACACGTAATAAGGCGGTTATCACACTGCGCCGCGCTCCGCCGCGGTACGCGGGACGACAGATTTAATCATTGTATGCAAGTACCTCAGTTTGTATAGAAAACACGCGCGGCACTTCACACTGACAACGCGTCTGCGCGCGGGATTTTTTATATGAAATCACGCGCGGAGCGCGGCGCAGTGTGACAACCGCCTAAGTGTGAGCTATTTGTTTCAGATCGTGGAGCGCGCAATCAAAGGCAAGCCGCTAGCCGAACAACTGAAAGGGAAGACAGACGACGGCAAATCGATTCTCTTCCCCGAAGAATCCTACAAGGATTTCGAAGAGGAGTTGTTCTGCAGTTAAATTTGGGCTCTCCGCTACGGGTTTAGGGTCGAGTTTCGTATGAGTCTATGGACGTGTCGGACGCGGCGGCGGGCAAGGTGATCCTGGTGGGCACGACGAGTTTGTTCGCTCTGCTCGTGTTCTGGGTCAACACTTATCCTTTCATCGACGACGGTGAGTGAATTTATTATCTATCTATAAAAGCTAAAGGTCTCTGACTGATTGACTTATTTACTCATCACAAAATCTCAGAAACTACAAGTGCTAAAGCCTGGTCCGTGAGCACGTAGAATCCCCTCCAATGACCCCAAGCTACCCATCCCTATCGCTCGCGCGTAATTATGTTGCTGTCGCGCTCGCACACTCACTGCGGGCGCCCGTCGCACAGTCGCGACATAACATAATTACGCGCGAGCGATAGGGATGGGTAGCTTGGGGTCATTGGACGGGATTCTACGTGCTCACGGACCAGGCTTTAGGAGTCTCAAACTTTACATGGGGGCTCCTTTTAAAATGTGGGTGCTCACTAAGAACGGATTTTACGAAACTCCATTCCTAAGGGGGTAAAACGGGATCCACGCGTACGAAGTCGCGGGCGATCGCTAGTTATAAAAAAGATTTTAAATTAATTATTTGACTTTAGGATAAGTGATGTTTAACTTTCCCCTGGGACAAACTTGACCTTCACTGGTTGGGTTTTTATTGGCAGTCAAACTGTAGATCCTGGCTACACAGGACTTGCAGCGGTGGGAACGAGAGGTGGAGGGAACAGTCCCGTATACGATAAAAGTGATATTAAATTAAACTTTAAAACAAAAAATAAGATTCATCCTGCTACTTGGTGTGGGTTTGTAAGTTCTTAAATGTCGTTTCAGATCTCAGCATCTACAGCCTGATCCCAAACCCACAGTGGTGCCTCCTGTTTTGCGCACTTTGGGGGCTTCTCTTCGTCGGGGGACTCATGTCGTTCACGCTATACCACATACACCCCTACCTTTAAACCTTGCCTTTAAAACCGCCCCTAAAACTCCCGCGTACTATACATTCGTACTAAATATCTTTGGTGAGACTAAATTGAAATCATCAAATACCTATCTAAACGTCCTCTATAAAACTGCTATAACTTTTAATCTATGCCAAAGTAAGTTAAAATCTCCAACGGAATCTAAATCTCAGTCTACAATCAGAAAATATACAATCATGGCCCAAAAAATAGATAAGAAGGACGAATGGATCATAATTGGAGTGTCAGGCGTGACGTGTGGTGGGAAGACAACCCTGGCTAATAAATTAAAAGGGATTCTGACACCCGTTCATATATTCCACCAAGACAAATATTTTTACCCGGATGACAGTCCGAAGCACGTCAAATGCGAAGGGCTGGCACACCCCCACAATAACTATGACATTCTGTCATCTCTGGACATGGACAAGATGTATGCAGATGTGCTGAAAACAATTAGCGGGGAAGATATGTCCCACCAGTCCAGCCAGGAGAGAAAGGCGGGACAAATTGAAGCTAAGAACAAAAAGTTCTTGATCATCGAAGGGTTCACTGTGTTGAATTTCAAACCTTTGTTGGAGCTTTGCGATCTGAGGTGAGTGTTTCGTATTTTCTTAAAACTGTCGGCTAATGCTTCTGTAATTTAAATGATTTATTTACTTTAAGACAGTTGAGTCATATAAACGATAAAAATTACATTCTGAAAGAAACAAACTGATGGTAAAACATCTTCTATGTGTAAGGTAGTTTTCAGGGTTAATTTAAGAATTTACACTCGCAAATAAAATCGGTGATTTCAAGTTTGTAATTTCCTGTGGTCATTGTTTGAGGCCCAAGTTCATGCTAGTATCTGAAGGGTTACTAGGAAAAACTTAAAAAAGTTTCGACTGTTGCCATCCCTCTCACGCAAACGAAGACGGTGACTAACAGACTCGAAACCATATGTGGTGTACTACTACACAAATAAAGAGTGTGCGCTATGGCAACACTGACTAGTACGGCGCGGTGGGGGCTCAGTCGTAGTCGGGCCGCCACACGGGACGGNAGAAAAAACATAGAAGTATTGTATCAGAAAAAAAAAACGAGGCAAGTTGTGAATTGTCAGAGACAAGCTATGAACCGTCAAAAAAGTAAAACAATATCTCACACAGTACAAACGGCTGTTTGTGTTGGTCTCGGTTTTCTTTTTGAAATTGTGATGTGATGATTTATGATTGATGAAGAGATGTGGTAACCATTAAATTTGACGTAGCCTAGAATATCTATTATAAAAAAAAAAATGGACGTGACTTCCATCGAAAATATTCACAAGGTACCTACAGTACTGTATAGAGATTGCAAAATCCGGATTTTTCTTAAATCCGGTTTTCCGGATTTGTGTTACGTACAAATCCGGATTATCCGGATTTTTCGAATATTGGGTAATTTATTTAAACCATCAATTTAAATTAAATAAAACGTAGTTTTTTTCAAAAAGATGTAAGTATTTGAAGAAAAGCGTTTTATTTTATTATCGCGCATGGAATTTATTCCTCTTTTTTTCGGTTTGCGCTACAAGCTTTCGAAATTATTTGAACTTTGCATTATTTTTTTCGTTTTAGTACAACTACATTTCAGATTAAAAACTTGCTTGTACCTATAAAATATTTTTTTTATTCTTCTTCTTGTCGTGTCGACAACAAATCTACACAGCGTCAGCCCAAAACTCCGCCACAAGNCTCCCATAAAATGTATGAAACTTTATGTCTGCTTTCTTCTTCTACTAATAGATAATTTTATTGGCTATCGCATGATATAAAATATTTGCCTATTAATGTTGAGCTACCCACGCTTTCACTTGTTTTTTAAAGAAGATGTGTAAACTAAAAATTAAAAACTTAAATCGATGTAGTTTTTCGAGAAATGGGGCAGGCCCCAAATTTGAAGTATTTTCATCGATAAAATTGTCCATAGATTACGCCCTTAAAGTTTGATCACTACATGCCCGGACACACTGTATATTAGCCTCATGTGGAACGATTATATACAAGCGATTTTCATCACAATAACTATTATCGAAAAATGGCAGTTGTTCCTTGGCACTGATGTTCGTTTTGTATATTGAAAATACAACTGATAACCACTTAGTAGCAGGGGTGCGATAATCACTAGCATGCACAAAATGAATAATTATCGACCGGTGCTAATAANGTCAGTGCTTGCACTAGCTTACACAGTGAACATATATCAGTGTTTTATTTAAGATACCACACCATATAAACAATATTTCGGAGTGACCCTGCTGATAACGATGTAAAGACATCAACACATCACACCAAACATTCTGGCATCTTAGCAGTTGTAATAGAGACTATTTTGCAATAAGCATGAACACTAGTATCTTAAGCCGTTGCAATAGGGTCTATTTTCAATTTCGTCAGGTACTACTTCGTGCTGGAATACGGCGAGTGCGCGGCGCGGCGCTGCTGGCGTCTGTACGACCCGCCCGACGTGGCCGGCTACTTCGACGGCTGCGTGTGGCCCGAGCATCTGAAGTACCGCGCCGAGGTACTTAGCTAACTATAGTCTGGTCCGTGAGCACGTAGAATTTTGTCCAATGACCCCAAGCTACCCATCCTTATCGCTCGCGCGTGATTATGTTGCTGTCGCGCTCGCACACTCACTGCGGGCGCGCGTCGCACAGTCGCGACAGCAATATCATTAGCTTGGGGTCATTGTATAAAATTCTACGTGCTCACAGACCGGGCTTTAGATATATTGTTTTAAAGTTTCATGGTCACTAACATAATTATTATTACTGACGGGATTGCACCTTAATTTTGAGTTTCCGATATTTTGGCACTGTTGCAGCTAACTATAGTCTGGTCGCCGAGCACGTAGAATGTTGTCCAATGACCCCAAGCTACCCATCCTTATCGCTCGCGCGTAGTTATATTGCTGTCGCGACTGTGCGACGCGCGCCCGCAGTGAGTGTGCGAGCGCGACAGCAACATAATTACGTGCGAGCGATAAGGATGGGTAGCTTGGGGTCATTGGACAAAATTCTACGTGCTCACGGACCAGGCTTTAGATATATTGTTTCAAACTTTAATGGGCACTAACATAATTATTATTACTGACGGGATTGCTACTTACCTTAATTTTGAGTTTCCGATATTTTGGCACTGTTGCAGCTAACTATCTTCCAACTTCCAGAGTAACTGGATTCCATTCAATGTATATTTAGTAATGCTTCAACCACACCAACAATCACGGCGTGATCATAGGCCAATGACAGGTCGCGCGGACTGTCATGGGTCGCGCGACCTGTCATTGATCTATGACCGCGCCACCGTTGGTTGGCGATTTGTACGCGTTGGTGTGGTTGAAGCTTTACTTACTTATTGCATTTCAAACTAACCAAAAGAAAGCGACTATACTTTGAATAAATCTGGTTAAAAGTTCATTGACCCCGCACTTTGACAGCTTGTGATGTCAATCGTACGGTATTCGGCCATCACTTGGTCGCCATTTTGTTCTTTCTCCGTTCTGTTTTTTTTTTTTCACTTTTTTGTTTGTTCGATTGCGGAATTATTATAAACTAGCTTTCCGCCCGCGGCTTCGCCCGCGTGGAATTTTGTCTGTCACAGAAAAACTGTATCGCGCGCGTCCCTGTTTCAAAAACCGGGATAAAAACTATCCTATGTTCTTTCCCGGGACTCAAACTATCTTTATGCCAAATTTCATCAAAATCGGTTGCGAGCTTTAAGCGGGAAAGCGTAACAGACAGACAGACAGACAGAGTTACTTTCGCATTTATAATATTAGTTGGGATTTATTAACGCTATTTACTAACAGAACGGGAAACCTTGAATACCGCAGTTATACTTATTTTACATGAAAAATATGCGGTAAAGTGATCCTTCATTTTCGTCTCGAATTTTTTCCAAAATATATCTCCCAAGCTTGACAAGAAAAGAAGCCTTTGAACAAATATTTTTGATACCAATAGTCATCCTGGCCTTAACAAGAAGCATTTGAACATATAAATCAAAAAAATTTACATACCAAAGAGGTAGGTCCGTTTGTAATATTCAAAATTAAAACTTATCAGCAAGTTCTCCATACCCATACCCATACCCACTCACTTAAAATGAAACAAAAAAATATTTTTTAACATTATTTTTCCTTTTTTTAACCAGTTTTTTTCCTTTTTGTACTTCCAGATAGAAAAAGACAAGCGAGTGGTCCTACTAGACGGCACGAGACCCGATGCTCTCGAAATGGTGGTAGCTGACCTCAAGGCACTAGGTGCCTCAGACGTCCCGTAGTCAATTATAAAGTTTAGGTGTAGCTTGTGCCCGCGGCTTCACTTGTTAAACGCGGATATTAAGGTGAAAAGTCTTGTGCTGTTAGTTGATTTTAATATGATCCAATTTGGCGAAACTGCGAAACAAAATGGCGGACGGAGCTTCATTTGAAGGTGGGTACTTTCAAATTTCCAACACTGTTTTTTTTTTCACTTATAAAGCCGATTATTACTAGTAGGTAATCCATTTTCTATCTTACAATCAATAAAATCAAATCAATTATATATTTTAATTAAAACAACCCACCTTAAAAATTGTTTTTAAAAGTAAGGAAAATTATTTCTAAATCCATTAATAAGATACTGCCTTTGTCGGCCTTAGAATAAATGTGATTTGCAAGCAATATTACCTATAAATTATAATAAGCACTTTTTACATTGTTTTAAAATCAAACGTTTATAAAAATAACATCCTTTTGATAAAAAATAATACTAATAAATTATGAATTAAAAAATCACATCACACACACAAAAGAAAAGCTATCTTGTTACTATTTTTATAAGCACTTTTCTTATAGTTAGCAAATTGTATGAGTTGTATCGTGCTACGAGAGGTGATTAGAGTGAACGAACAATATTTTTAATTTTATTGGTTGTATTATAATGTTTTTGACGTTATATTGGGTATTATTGATCCTGCAACGGAGATAACAGCTATTTACTTAAAGTAGAAGAAGTGTAAACTGTTTGTACTAAACTATAAATAAATGTTATTATTGTTCGCAAATTATGCCTTATTCTCGTTTACACGTCATTTTCCATACTGATAGCCAGATAATTTATTTATATGATTTTTAAACTGTTGCATTTAAAGCCACAATCCCTAAAGCAATAAATTGTGTTCATTTACAATCTTACACAGATATGTATTTGCATTGTTAGAAATTAAATTCTACTCTGTTTCAAAATACAAAACTTTTATAATGTAGCATCACTGTGTTTGGGGTTGCCACAAGTAATATTTTGTATCTAAATGGTAGTTATTTAGCATTTGTGCGTGGGTAGGGTGTGTTGTTGAATTTATAGTTGTATAAAAGTGTATATTTTTGCTATTAGACGATTGTATGCCGTAGCGTCACACCACAAATGTGCTTCTATAAACTTTGTTATAGCCTGACCAGGAACATAAAAACCCTCGCCATGTTGCGGAAAACTAATGGTACTAATTTCTTTTAATGGCAACAGTTACTGAAAACTTCATTAACATGTCACCTTGCATGTCAGTCTATTGCTGTCAAAGTGTAAACAAACTTTATTTTAAATGTGTGCAATTGATTTTGTGAATTAAATTGCTAAAATATTTTTATAGTCGTGAAAGAAAAGTGGTTCACAATGTGTTAATGTATTTGTCGAAGAGAAATACCAAGGGTTCGGACAATATTTTCATTGAATAATGTTTCCGACAAAGGTTGTCAAATTGACTGACATGTTTATCGTATAGTACAGTCTACTATGAAAATTAGCTGTAGTTTGTTTCAACTACCTATTTTAAAGTTTTTTGTCACTTTCTCAGTTTTGAATTTTATGGAATTGGGAAAGAAGTACCGAGTTTGAAGCGTTCATGAGCAGACATTGCAGTTGAATATTCAAGTTCTGAATTTGATTATTGATGAATAATAAAATAAATCCTACTAGCTCGATTGATGGTTTCATTTAATTTATTTAAACCAGGTTACCTTTATTAATATTTTTTCGTTAATTTATGAAAATATCAAATTAGCCCGTAATCCTGAATCCTGATACATAAATTTAGCCTATTAATTTAACACAGGTACGACTGTACTCAGTGTTGCACTATCAAATGCAATTGAAGCGCCTCTATGCCAGGGTTTTTATGTTCCTGGTCAGGCTATATGTTAAATTACTTCTCAGTATGAATAAATTATATCACTATTATATTTCTTGTTTTTAATATTTGAAACCTTCTCATCACAACGTTATTTTACTAATTTTGAAATCTGCGAATCAGTGATTACTGAAAACCTGTTTAAAATATTTTTTTGTTCCGTTAGCTAAAGCCATCGGAAAGCGACGATAGCTTTATAGCAGTGGAGCGGTTTCACTCTATGTCCGGTCCGGATCCGTCAAAATATCCGTCATAATATCTAGAAAACTATAGAAATCGGTGAAAGGTACACCAACAGCAAAACATAAGAAAATAGCAGTTTAAATAATTTTATCCAATTATAGGTATACACAATTTTTATAACGTGTTAGTAATAGCTCCGAATCGTGTTGTATCGTATCGTATTTTCACGGATTCACATAGGACGTAGAGCAAAACCACTCTTAGTATGACGTCTTGTTCAAAACGTCCAAGGCTAGGCGTGGCCTGCCGGGCTAGGATGCGCGACATGATATTCTTTATCGACGTCAAAATGTATGGGCAAAATCGGTAAAATGGTGTGATAATCGCATAAGTAGGCCTAGGGCCTGCTGGTGACTGTCACCGTGACAGTATACTATCTCACTTACACCTTCACAAAGAAAAAGAGAGATACCTACTGTCACGGTGACAAAAGTCACCCGTGCATGCCTAGGCTTATTTGAAAGAGCCCAAAGATTTGACAAATAAAGGTGTACTCACACGCCGCCGCCGTCGCAGAACTTGCGGCTCTCGCGCGCGTCGGCGCCGCGGTGCTCGGCGCGCAGCTCCGCGGACGGGACCGCTGCGGAGTCGCGCTGCTCCGCGTCCGCTTCGAATAGCGACCGCTTGCTGCGCTCCTCTAGCCTGGCGGACGAACACGAACGTTAAAAGAACTCTTTTGGAACAATTGCTCGTAGTCGTAGTGCTTGGCCTGGCTGAACGCGCCGTTAGTGTGTGCCCATGAAATCTTATTCTAGTGTCCATTAGTGACACTCGTCACTATGGACACTAGTGTAATGTGGGGACCGGGAGTTGTCAATAAAAGAAAATACTGTGCGATGCGATTATAATTGTGTGTCAATTTACATAGCAATTAGCAACATTAGATTTATAGCTGCATAATGTACGTTAGTGAGGGTGGCGAGTACACATACTAAAGCCCGGTCCGTGAGCACGTAGAATTTTGTCCAATGACCTCTAGCTACCCATCCTTATCACTCGCAAGTATCTAATTATATTGCTGTCGCGACTGTGCGACTGGCACCCGCAGTGAGTGTGCGAGCGCGATAGCAACATAATTACGCGCGAGCGATAAAGATGGTAGCTTGAGGTCATTTGACAAAATTCTACGCGCTCACGGACCAGACTATATAGAACATAAAACTCAAGCCCACCTGTTATTCTGCACATCAAACTGCTGCTGCGGCGCGGGCACGTCGGACGCGTGCGGCAGGTGCGCGACGCGCGGCAACGAGTCGTCGTTTCGCAGCGCGGGCAGCGCGCGCGATAGGAAGCGAAGCGTGTGGTTGCGGATCAACTCGCTGGGGACAAGGCAATTTTATATTATTTCTGATTCGTTTTCGTAAAGAAATACCGAGCATAGCCCTCTTCACAGCACACTGCAACTTTGAGCTTTCTTACAAGCAGCGTGAGACGTTCATAAAAGTTGCAAGAAGGCGCTGCACGCTGCTAACCGACCAATCTGGAAATCATTGGGAGGGAGGGCTATGTTCAGCAGTGGACGTCCTGTGGCTAAAATGATAATAATGATGAATATTTTTTTTATGTATTGGCAAAAGCTTCACTGAAAAAGAAGAAACAATTTTTTTTGTTTGACACTAATCACTGAGAAGAATGGCGCCCAACGACGTCTCTCTAAACACTCTCTCTCAATGCATATTAAATAAATAATGCTGGTCCGGTAGTTGTAAAAATCCGTGGGGAAGGCCTTTGTCCGGCATAAAAGGTATACTCACAATGGATAGGGCTCCTCGTTGGGGCTCTTACTCTTTAACCCATTATTAATGGACTAGGTGGATACTCACAAGGGGTAGGGTTCCCCGTCAGGACTCTGCCCCATGGGGTTGCGCGGGATGTCGCCTCGGTTGAGGTCTCCGCAGAGGTTGTGCGCGGTCACTAGTAAAGCCTGGTCCGTGAGCACGTAGAATTTTGTCCAATGATCCCAAGCTGCCCATCCTTGTCGCTCGCACGTAATTATGTTGCTGTCACGCTCGCGAAATCACTGCGGGCGCGCGTCGGACAGTCGCGACAGCAATATAATTGCGCGCGAGCGATAAGGATGGGTAGCTTGGGGTCATTGGACGGGATTCTACGTGCTCACGGACCAGGCTTTAGTAGATACTCATAAGGGGTGGGGCTCCATGACTCTGGCCACTAGTAGTGGATACTCACAAGGGGTAGGGCTCCCCGTCAGGGCTCTGCCCCATGGGGTTGCGCGGGATGTCGCCTCGGTTGAGGTCTCCGCAGAGATTGTGCGCGGTGACTGGTAGTGGATACTCACAAGGGGTAGTTCTCCCCATCGTGGCTCTAGCCACTAGTAGATACTCACAAGGGGTAAGGCTCCCCGTCAGGACTCTGCCCCATGGGGTTGCACGGGATATCTCCTCGGTTGAGGTCCCCGCATAGATTGTGCGCGGTGACTGGTAGTGGATACTCACAAGGGGTAGGCTCCCCATCGTGGATCTAGCCACTAGTAGATACTCACAAGGGGTAGGGCTCCCCGTCAGGGCTCTGCCCCATGGGGTTGCGCGGGATGTCGCCTCGGTTGAGGTCTCCGCAGAGGTTGTGCGCGGTCACTAGTAAAGCCTGGTCCGTGAGCACGTAGAATTTTGTCCAATGATCCCAAGCTGCCCATCCTTGTCGCTCGCACGTAATTATGTTGCTGTCGCGCTCGCGCAATCACTGCGGGCGCGCGTCGCACAGTCGCGACAGCAATATAATTGCGCGCGAGCGATAAGGATGGGTAGCTTGGGGTCATTAGACGGGATTCTACGTGTTCACGGACCAGGGTTTAGTAGATACTCATAAGGGGTGGGGCTCCGTGGCTCTGGCCACTAGTAGTGGATACTCACAAGGGGTAGGGCTCCCCGTCAGGACTCTGCCCCATGGGGTTGCGTGGGATGTCGCCTCGGTTGAGGTCCCCGCATAGATTGTGCGCGGTGACTGGTAGTGGATACTCGCAAGGGGTGGGGCTCATCATTAGTGATCGGTGACTACTAGTGGATACTCACAAGGGGTAGGGCTCCCCGTCAGGACTCTGCCCCATGGGGTTGCGCGGGATGTCGCCTCGGTTGAGGTCCCCGCAGAGGTAGTGCGCGGTCACTAGTAGTAGATACTCATAAGTGGTAGGGCTCCCTATCGTGGATCTAGCCACTAGTAGATACTCACAAGGGGTAGGGCTCCCCGTCAGGACTCTGCCCCATGGGGTTGCGCGGGATGTCCCCTCGGTTGAGGTCCCCGCATAGATTGTGCGCGGTGACGTGCGGCTTAGCATCACCTGCCTCCGGACATTCCACATCAACCTTGCGGTACGGCGGCGGACGCACTCTGGGGGAAGAATTACAATAATTCTTTAGAAAGAAACATTTATTACAATGAACATCACTTACGCCCGTATTCACAAACGATGCTTGCTTAAGTGAAGCAGCAAATCTAATGCATAGCGTTGAATAGAGCTCTGTGATTGATTCGTGTGTCACCCTGTGCGTCCACGCGCACTGTGAGACCTCATAGTAATGTTTGTGAATACGGGCGTTAGTTGAGGACAGAGAACGTATACGGAAAAAAGACAGAAATTTATTTATTTATTTATTTATTTTATAGAAACCAACAGCGATACATTAAAAATGTTAGTTATAAGATTTAGACTGATAGCACATAAATATTGCAAGGAAATAAAAAGTGAACTGAGCAGTGCTATTCTGTTGCAACAGCGATGCCCATCGCAATGGGACTCCACTCAGCATATGCCGTGGCCCACGGTGGGGAAGGCCACGACGCTTCCACGAGCCTTGTACAATGGCTCGTGGTGCATATATTTTCATAAAGGTTACTAAACCGTTGTTTGTCACCTGTCATCCGCTTTGCAATGGAGGGAAGTCGAACCTTAACTTCGAACTCCTCCTATGTTCTTCTGATTTTGTTGTGGGTTCAATGACAGTTTTACATTGCCCCCGGGACAAAGTTGACCTTTACTGGTTGGATTTTTTACTGGCGGTCAAGCTGTAGATCCTGGCTACACAGGAGTTGCAGCGGTGGGCACGAGAGCTCGGAATAGTCCCATTGCAAAAAGGCTAGCTATGGCTGTCCAGAAATGTATCCAGCCCGGTTCTAAGCAAACCCTTCTAGATAGCTATTGATTTATTTATCTGTGTAGTCACAAGTCAAGCACATAGCTGAAGTCAGTGCTTGAGGTATTTATTTTTATTTATTTATTTAATGAGCAACATAATAAGCTTACAGAAAACCCAAAGCGCTTACATGTTTAGTCACCACATCGATTACAATAAAATTATATATAGTCAAAAAATTACACAAATTATTAAATTAAATTAAAATTAAATTCTGTTTAAACATAATTTGAACAGCACGGGAGGGTTTTTTGTGAGGGACTTCAGAATTGTATACTCCGTCACGTTAGAAGATGTCACCTCTCCTGTGTCGCTCCTATTCCTCAAGCATTGATTTCAAGTTCTGAACTCAAGACTCAAGTTATGAATACAAATAAATAATGTTATGCGAAAATATCTACGAATAACGCTATATACCTAGCAAGCGTTTTTTATATGTTATACAAATTTTAATATTAGTTACGGTACGAGTATGATTCAGGTTTTGAACTCGCTTCTGGCGGTTTTAATACTAAAATTGCTTATCAGAAGTGTTCATAACAAGTTAGCTGATATTAAATTAAAAAGTCTTACAAATGAAATAGGCCTACAGTTTTCCGAATTTCCTAATTATTGCATTATTATTCCTTTGCTTAGTTGCGTGCTCTAAGCAAAGAGTTTGTGCAGTATCGATACGCGTAACTGTGGGTTTGCCGATCAATTATTTTATATCAAGTGTAATTACAATTACCACTTACTTCCAAATAATTATCTTCTGTTTTAAACGGTACTTCAATTACAGATATTTATTCCTTACTAGCGGCCGCCCGCGACTTCGTACGCGTGGATCCCGTTTTACCCCCTTCATCTATCTTACGCGGTTTAGATTTTTTCATACAAATGTTTTTTCCCGCTTACTCCCGTTTTCGTGGGAATTTAGTAATATCCTGTTGTAACTAAGCCTTAAGTTTACTAAGGTACCTGCATGCCAAATTTTGTTTTGTTTCTATAAGGAACATACAGACAGACAGACAGACAAAAATTTTACTGATTGCATTTTTGGCATCAGTATCGATCACTAATCACCCCCTGATAGTTATTTTGAAAATATATTTCATGTACAGAATTGACCTCTCTACAGATTTATTATAAGTATAGATAAATATTTAAAATGAGAATAATGAGAAATCTATTACAGTCATTGCTCGTATAAAAGACATCAACGCGTCACGATTGCCCGTTTATTTATTTGTCATAAGTTTCTGTGATTTAATGTTGTCAGAGAAAGTAACAATCGACGCCACTTGTTGCGGCTAATTGTCTTTAGTTGGCACTTTCTCTGTTGTTACAACTTGAGATGACCACTTAGAGTTAAGTGTGATGACGTAATTGGTGAGCGGTTGCTAGCGAATCATGTGTGGTTCCTTATGGGCAATTTGTGTGCTGTTTAGAACAGATAAAGTTACATGTTAACAAACTGCTGAACTACAAATCACTACTACCGGCTTGGGTATGACGGAGTAAAATGGCGGTAACATATGACAAATGGGACTGATTAATGTGCTGTACTTTCAATTCTCTTCGGAGCATTCATAGTTATGAAGAGAATGGATGGCAACTAATTAACCTATTCTAGCCGGAGGGTATAACGCACTGCTTTTACTCTTTTCCTTTTATTTTTTGGCAATGGCTTGAGGCGTTAACTCCCGTATTATCATCAGTTCATAAACTGGTCTTGAACACCGACCCTTCGGCTATAGATTACAACTAATAAAAGCTGCACGTGTTGGACACTAAAGTACGGCCAACGAGAAGCGATACCAAATGTAAACAAACCCAATGTCATGGGTGAACCCGTCTGACTTAGACATATTTTGGCGGGAGAACGAGACATTACGACAAATACACAAGATGGGAAGAGACAGAATATATTGTCAACTCGACAGTCGTATTGACCTTTTGTATCGCTGCTAGTTGGCCGTACTTTACTTTAAAATGACTTTCCAAATCACCAAATTTCTTTGCCCTCATAGCCCTTTCCCAATATTTGGGGTTGGCTCTTCTCGTTCTGCGACGCCAGGGCAGTCTGTCTTGGGTTGTCGAAATATTTGTTTGGCCACGCTCTAAGTCCTTGGTCACTGTGTACCGCCAGGTAGCCAGTGGCCGTTCTCTACCTTTCCTATTATTTGACAGTACGATCTTCGGGGCAACTCTCGGCTTTAAACATCATTTAAAACCACTATTCAATGCGCTTGTCTACACTAATATTGTAAAGAGGAAAACTTTGTTTGTTTGGTTGTAATGAATAGGCTCAAAAACTACTGGACCGTTTTTTAAAATTCTTTCATCATTCGAAAGCTAGATTATCCACAAGTAACATAGACTACATTTTATTTTGGAAAGAAATATGTAGTCCACGCGGGCGAGGCGCGGGCGGAAAGCTAGTACTTTATAAAGTTACGGGGCTAGATTTTGGACGCTAACTTAACTAATAAATGCTTCGACTTTGCCTTACCTAGGCGGCGTGGCGTTGGGCGACTCCACAAACGCGTAGTAGCCTTCGGGCGCGTCCTCCTCCTCCGGTGCCGGGTCCTCCGCTCGCGGCGCCGGCTCGTCGGCCGGCACCGGCGCCGGCGCCGGCGCTGTGGTCGGCTCCGGCAGCACCGCCGATAGGAGCAGCGACAGGACGCCCTGGAACGAATCGGTAAGTTGCATTGAATTTATTTATATTCACAGATAGAAGACCTATAGAGCGCAACAACATAACTATACTAGTGCCAGGTAGGTACTGCCGGACATCCGTGACTTGGTTCGTTTGTAATTCGGAAATGCATGCAAAATTCCAGCTCAATAGAAAACCGGGAAGTGGGTCAATTTTAAGTTGCAAGATTTGACGACAGACACCAGACATGTGAAAGTAATAAAAAGCTTGTAATAAATCATCACATTTAGGCGATTTAACAGCGCGACAAACGCGCGACAGACGCGCTGCCGAAAATTTCATACTATGTGACAGCTTATGTATGCCTTCACATTTTAAAAACGCCGCTGCCGCGCTACAGTCGCGCTACTAACGCCCTAATATGAAGCGCTCATAGTTCTTGCAATTCACGAAGGCGAGTGAGCTTTACTTGTGTCTGTACATACGTGTACATGCACATAACGATAGTGTAATGTCTACTAAAACTTTTGAAAAATGAACAGTAGCAAGCCACCGCACATGTGAAGCTCACTCGCCTTCGTGAATTGCAACAACTATACCTCATATTGATTTATTTTCACAAAATGGATAGAGGACTTTAAAAAGGTGACAGGAAAGTGCTGGATGAAGGCTGCTTCCAACTGGCTAATGGGGAAGGCCTAAGTGAACATCATCATCATTTCAGCCACAGGACGGCCACTGCTGAACATAGGCCTCCCCCAATGACTTCCACATCGCACGGTTGGTAGCGGCCTGCATCCAGCGCCTTCTACCTTACATGTGAACATATAACAGATCATTTCAGTCACAGGTTGATGACTTATTCATGGTATACTTTGTTATACAAACACTCTCTTTTACTGATTTCGTGCGTTGGACGATTAACCGAAATACCTAAATATGTTTTTGTTATTCAAAGTCGTGTGCGGAAACTGTTACAGTTCAAAAAACTTTACTAACGCAATATAATATAACTAGTAAACAACTCCATTTAGCATTCAATTCGTACTTATTTAATGTTATATGCGAATGTAATACTTTCTGCCTGTTGACTCGCCTGAAACTACTAAATCAATTTCGATGAATGAAAGAAGAAGATACCTTTTATATCATAAAATATGAAATGTGGTCGATATAAGGGATGATACTTTCATCCCATATAACCTGTATATGCACAGAGGCATGAAAACGACCCAATGGTACGTTTTGTAACCATGCCAAATTACATAAAAACCTGAGATCTGAGATAGGTCTGGGCATATATGGGATAACGACCTGCAAGCTTTCAAGAGGAGAGCGTATCTTTACCTTAAAGGCCGGCAACGCACCTGTAACGCCCCTGGGTCTGCGGGTGTCTATGGGCGACGGTAATCACTTACCATCAGGTGATCCGTTTGCTCGTTTGCCTCCTATCACATAAAAAAAAAAAAAAAAAAAAAAAAAAACTCGTCGCCAGTATTTTCTATGTCAGCGATATGAAAACTCTTTTTTATGCATAACAAGGGAGATTTTCACCACAATCGTACCTGATGTTAAGTGGGATGCAGTCTAGGATGGTACATTATCTAACTCATATTAAATATCGTCGTTTGCTAGCACCAATTTGAGGTCTAGCTATAACGCTATATTGGATCGTTTTCTCTATAAAGTGCAGACGTTGTAGGCAACAGGGCCGCGGACTAGAATTTGTATGGGCAGTTAGTTACTTCGCTATCGGCTGCCCAACATCTGTATCGAGGTAGTGTATAAGTGTATATGTTACAGGAAATGTATGAAATCCGTCATTGTATACAATTCCTAGGAATTGTGTATAAGTCCTAAAATCACCCGGAAATGTGTGATGTAAATCATATTAGACACATTTCCTAGGAAAATCACACATTTCCTAAACAGCAGTCAGAAATGTAATTAAGATATTTTTTTTTACACAAAATTATTTTTATTGCGCCCATTTTTGCTCTCCGAAACTTAAATGGCGCTACCGCGCCGCGGCAGCTGTGTATGTGTAAGGTCGCAAGTCTAACCCAACCTAACCTAGACTTCGTTATCCAGCTACAGGATTACTAAAACCTTCATGCCAATAATAGTTTAATAAAAGAGATGTTAAAATTAGGGATTTCCAATACTTCAGCGTAATATGCGTGATGCCGAAAGAAAGGTATGCCAATAAATTTAAGCAAATATTTTTTTCGGCCAAAGTATAATAGTGCGAAAACAACTGTCAGGCTAAACAATAATTTGTGAGTTTAAAGTACCTATCGGCCAATGTGATTTGGCCAAATGAAATTTTAGGCGTACCGAGGGGCACCCGATCACACGACCGCGCTTGTGCCGATTAATTTTATACATTTCCTAATACAATATTGGAATTCTATAAAATTCCTAGGAAAAGTATACATTTCCTAGGATATGTGCGTATTAAAAAATCTCTGAAGCAATATTTTATACATTTCCTAAATAGCTTCGGAATTGTTTACATTTCCTAGGAATAGTATACAATTCCTAGAATTCATACATTTCCTGTAACATATATACAGTAAACACTGTGTTTAGTTATTTTCACCGTAAATAAATTACTGACTGACTGACTAACACCAGTACTCACAAACGATGCTTGCTTAAGTGAAGCAGCAAATCAAACAGCGTTGAATAGAGCTCTGTAATTGGTTCGTGTGTCACCCTGTGCGTCCACGCGCTCTGTGAGACCTCACAGTAATGTTTGTGAATACGAGCGTTAATTCGCAAACGAAGTGTCTGAACAACGGCGACAATTTTATTTCGATTCAAATTTATTCCTAACGCTCGATTTATTGTGGGCAAAAGAAGGAGTGTGCTGCCCGCTCGTTGCCCGCTCCCGCGCCGCTGCCCGCTTGTTGCCCGCTCCCGCGCCGCTGTTTTCGAGAACCGGTCTATCTATTTGATTTTACGCATAAGATCCTGCCGCTCCCGCGCCGCCGCCGCTCCCGCGCCGCTGCCCGCTAAACTCGAGGCTGAGGCCTTAGATCTATGTAGTACAAACTAATTTTGTTAAAATAAGATTTTTTATTTGACGTTTGAATTCTCAAGCAACAAGCAATACAATCATATCTACAAAAGTCTCTCACAATAATCTAAAATCAACAGTTATCCTACTAATATTATAAATGCGAAAGTTTGGATGTCTGGATGGATGTTTGTTACTCTTTCACGCAAAAACTACTGAACGGATTTTGATGAAACTTAACAGTATTAATCTTATAACCCAGAATAACATATAGGCTATAATTTATGACGATATGTGACAAATAAATTTTAATAAATAAATAAGACGGCTAAAAACGCATCTATCGTCATTGGTTAAAATCTACAGCGCTGGACAAACTACTGTTTTTGACATTCGTAAATATTCATGCCGTGAAACGCAATCTATCAACATGATATCTAACGGGGGTAAAACGAGGTCCACGCGAACGAAGTCGCGGGCGGCCGCTAGAAGCCAGGGATGAGTATTCTTTGGCTAGAAGGCTATACATTTATGACGATCTATAACAAACTAAATTTCACGCGGGTGAAGCCGCGGGCGGAAAGCTAGTAGCTAATATTTCCAGCTCGAGTAACGATACATTTTCCACATTTTCCACCCGCTCGGTATCATATCAGTTGAATGGCGCCGGTGCCCGCGCCGCGTGACGCGCGAACCGTTACCGCGCGCGGTGACCTGCATACCGCGGCATATAAGGGAATTACATACGTCTCTATAAGACGCACATCCGTGCTTTGGGAGGCACGTTAAAAGTTATAAATAAATAAATATCTTTGGACATTTTTACACTGCGCTTCTAGTCCCAAACTAAGCAAAGCTTGTACTATGGGTACTAGACAACGGATATAAACATACTTAAACACTTTTTTTTGTAAATACATACCTACATATTAAACATAGAAAACACCCAGTCCAATACAAACAAATATGTTAATGCACACAAATGTTTATACTGTGCGGGAATCGAACCCGCTACCTCCGGAATAGTAGTCCGTTTCGAATCACAACACCAAACGGCCGACAAGTTAGTTCCTACTAGGCATAAAGGAAGATCGGATATCCTTATTCTTCTTCTTGTCATGTCGATAACAAAACTACACGTCACGTCACGTAAATTAGTACTAGATAACAAACAGTCCAGATGGACTATCTTAGCGTCTTATTAAGAGGAGGACCAAACCCAAATGAAATGGGAAAATGCACAGAATAAGAATATCCTCTAAACGAAAAGAAAACATTATTGTTCCTTTTACATTATTATTTTTATCAAAAAAATAAAACAAAAGTTCTTTAACGAGATGTGGGCCTAACTTGCGATGCTGATGCTGCAATGACCTCTATTTGCTCCAACTTTCATCACTTTCCTTGTCACTCAGTGTAAAATGTAATTTGTGGAGAGTCAAGTGTCCGTGCCACACTATTCATAGCTATTAGCATTTACGACGCGGCCAGACATAAACAATGAATTAAAATGTAGAACATACTAACAAAATAATTTATATTTAGTAGAGAGGAAGTGTAAAAAACATAATTAATTTTATGTGCTAGTTATTTGCGAAATTGCGTGTTTTTTAAACTGCAAAATTAAAATTACTTTGTCTTTGTCATCACTCTCACTCCTCTTTATTAAACTACCTACAAAGGCACTGATTCAAGCAAGTTTTTTGCACTATCCCGTTTAGTAGTATACGTGTTTTAATATTAACGTTTACGCGAACATCCCGTTTCCCGCAAAACTGGAATGCCGCGGAATTAGCCCTTACCAATCTGGATTCACGACGTCATAATTGAAAAAGATAATGTTTAAAATAATTCAACTAGCGGCCGCCTGTGACTTCGTACACGTACACGTGGATGCCATTTAATTTTGCAAAATCCCGTCTCAATGAGCACCTACGTTCTAAAAGGAACCCCCATGCAAAATTTGAGACTCCTAGCACTTGTAGTTTCTGAAATTTCGTGATGAGTAAGACAGTCAGAAATCTTTCGCTT